TTCCCAATGACTATCATTAAGCGTTGTACCTTATGATTCTTGATGAATATATCTTTTCTTTTATGTACTCTGAGAGCGTATGCATCAAGACAAATTCCTTGTGTGTCCAATCATACTTGGCCAATAAAGAAATCTATTCTATTCTATTCTATTCTATTCTATTCTATTCTATTCTATTCTAAAGCTTGGCAACTGACTCATATTTATGATAATTGCCATGTCCTGGAGTCATGGGATCCCCTTTTGCTACCTTCTGACAAGCAAAGTCAATGGGAAGCCAGATTCACTTAACAACCATATTACTAACTTAACTGTAGTGATTCATTTTACAACTATGATAAGGAAGTGTCATAGGAGCAAAACTCATTTAACAATGGTCTCACTTAGTAACTGAAATTTGCTCTGCTTAGAAACAGGTTCAACTGTGGTCATAAGTCGAAGACTACCTGTACCTTATCTCTGGTGCAAAAATACAGAGAACCACTGGATTTCAGTAGTTGTAGGAGTGTTGTGTTAGTCTGTAGCCCAGATATTGTATGCTTATTCTAGAATTTTATTTTAAACAGATATATTTCATGAATAATACATTACGACAGGCTTTGCAGTAATGTAATTTTTAGATTAAGCATGATAGCTTTAATTGTCAACCAATGCATCCATGTTGTTTATGAAATATGGCATTAAGAGGTCAGCTTACACAGAAAACATTCAGCCAAGAAAGAGCGTGCTATATAACAGGCCTCAACCAAGAAACATAATGCTTTTTCTGCTACTATTCTTTCTACTAGAATTAATAAATTACAAGAACATCTGGAAGATGTTTCCAGCAAAGGAGTCCTGCCAGACAAATCTAATTAGAAACAAAGGTCATATCATACCATTAAATTAATCACAACTATATCTATTACTTCTGCTGCTTGAACATAGGACCAGATCTTTATTTTATAACATTACTGAAGGTCAGAGATGATGCATTCATACAGACCCAAGGTTATTGCCCCAAACAACCATATTGTAGTGAGGACACAAACCATATGTCTAATCATAAACATTACCATATCCATTCATTTGGAAGAATGGGTGAAATAATTCTTTAAGTAAAACTGTCCCATTTGCTAATAAGCTATGCAGTTTTAAAATAGTTTCAAAACCTCCTTTATTACTCAGTTCTTATATTTGTGCGGTTCAGTCTGTAGTAGTGAAAAATTATTTTTGTGAAGAAACTCGGAATACTGAAATTGAACTTAAATTGTCTACTCTGCTAGACTTGCAAAATATTTGGTAAAATAAAAATCTCATATTTGTTATTTATTTCATAACTTCATCCAGCATGCCCATTGCCAGGCACACACGCACATCTGGCTGCTCTAAATTGGACTTTTCTGTTATTGTATTTTTGTACTGTTGGCATTAATTTAGTGACCCTTTAAAATTATGCAACTGATAAAGTCAGAGCACATTTAAGAGTTGTTTATTTCCAGACGTCCCAAAAAATAAATTTAGATCACCTTTCTTGCTATAGTGAGCTTAGAGTGGATAAGATTTTTTAAAAGACAATAATTCCAACAGTGGAAATGATAAGCCTAATTCTGCAACAATTTGTTCACAGCAGTTTCTTCTAAGGGAATATTTGCTAGAAATTGCATATGCTCAGTCAGAACTATGATTGGCCGTACCTAAAATGTGGTATCTAATTAAATAGACAAGGATAATCTAATAGAAGTTAAATTCACAGGGAATCCAAAATACAGCTTGAAACATTCCACCATCAAAGTTATTTAACTCAATGCAAAATGTGATAAAGTGGCAAGGAGAAATGAATGTCAGTTTTCTTCTCCTGAAATCAGATCCCTATCTTTGATATTGAAGGGAAAAACAAAGCAAAGCTATTAACCACCTGTCGTAAAAGTAGTTATTACTAAAAAAAAAAAAAATCACAGAAGATGATGATAAAGTGCTCTATATGTCTTAGAAAAATACATAAAACTATCCAAGTTCTCTCCAGGAGCTGAGTCCAGTCTGAGGAATTTTTTACTTAGTTTACTCAGCAGAAAGATGGGATCTATGAGCACAAGCTAAGAAGCTTCTTCCTGGGAGAACTGAGAGAGAGTATCTTTTTTTTTTTTGCTCTACTTTAAGATGAAGTTCCTAGTCAAATAAGACTGTTGCATATAAAATAAGACTGTTGCAGATAATAGTTGCCTAGTATGTTTAGGTATTTCTAACTATTTTGAGCTCCATTGGCAAAGGGAAATGTTTTGTCTTAATGAATAGTTTATTGAAGAGCTGCTTATATTTCCATAGATTAGTTAACTATATTAAATTTGTTAACTGACATGAATAAATTGTATTGAGCCATTAGGATTAGGGTTAGGGCTGAGGTTAGAATTAGAGTTAGACTTAGGGTTAAGTTCTGGGAAGGGAAGAGAAAACTTTGATGTGCATGGAATTCAATTCAGCTTCAGGGTATGGCTTTTGGAATTATTTTCAACTTCTCAACCAGCAGTGGCCATGGGAGGTACATGTAATATATTACATTTCTCTGTGTGCTTCTGCACTCCATCCATATATGTGGTGAATAGCGTGTGATAAATTACACAGGCTTAGGTCTTGAGTCACATAACCAGGAGGAAGAAAGAATGAGGACTAAGAATAGAGCGCTTAACAGAATTTGAGGTGTTGTCCAGCTATCATAGTGTTGCACTGAAAGGGTTTTTTTAATGTATGGTGAAGATGTTGTTGTTGATGATGAGGATGGTGATGATGATAAAATATTTTCCAAAGTCCCCAGCCAGATTTGGTACACATTTAGACACAATTTCTTTTGCCAGCTTCTCTCCTACGTCAAATTTGCTCCCGTTGGATTCAGTTTTCAGCAAAATCTCACAATGATGAATTGACGGATGATTTCTGGGTTCCTTTACATAATTTCTTTCCAACATTACTTTGAGTGGAAAACTATAACAACGCTCAGAATGAAGAATTTTAATGCTATTTTTGTCACTCATTTAAGATCAGCAGAAACAACTATCATCAAATGTCAGTCAGGTTTGATAATGATATACCAATTTAATATTGCATCCCTGAGCACCTATTCAAGGGATGCACTGGCTAACCGTATATCTTGAATTTTTGTTCATTATATTTCCTGCCTGTTATAATTATAGATGAGCTGAGCTGAAAGCAGACAAAAGTAAATGGAAAAAAAGGTGATAGCATCCTACAACCACAAATAATTAGAAGCAAGTGTAAATGTCCTGTTCCTGTTGCCATAACAGTCATACTCTTGATGCAAAAAACAAAACACATCCCATACCTTAGCTTGGCTGGGGAAAAGGTACTGCTGGAGTGGAGATTTCTGTCTTCATCATCCTTCCAGAGAAAACAATGAGAGTACCTGAGCATCAATGTAAAACTACTACAAAAAGTAAGTTGATAAGACAAGTAACATCAACTTAAACAATCACAAAAGCAAAGCATAAAATGAGATAATCACAGTAAAGCATTCCGAACTCCTCTTCCCCCAATAGTCAAGACCTATTTCTCTTATAAAAGTTAACCCTTTATGTTAATCAAGCTTGATGCAGGTTTTATTAAACAAAATCCCATTATAATTTTCTGAATGTATTTAAGTCAGGGGTAGTCAAACTTCATTGTATGCAGTTAGTATTTGGGGTAGACAAAGGATAATAGAGAGTAGGAGAATTACATGGAACAGAGTCTTGTCAAATACATATAATGTGAGGATTTTCCATATTTTTCACATGTACATGTGCTTCTTTTTTGAACTACTATGTTAAACATTTAGACAGTGTACATTACAATTTGTTTCTCCATCCCCCCAAATAGCATCCACCTCTGAGTTAAGTTTGGCATTTCTGATACAGGTAGAAAACCAGAGGGTATCGAAAAGAGTTTGAGAACCAATGAAGAACTTTAGAAGTCCATTCCAACTAAAAGCCTTGAGTTAATTAGCCTAATTCTGATTTAAAGCTGCTGTGAATTTTAGTTTATGAAGGGGGGAAGAAGTGTTAGTCCTTTTAGTGGATAGTAACAAAGCTATAGTATGTGAATTTAGTGGCAAAATAATATAGAATGAATTATGCAAAAATCCTATTCATTTTAATATTTGAAATTTCCTTCAACTTTAAATGAAAGGTACCTGAAGACTCTTAGACCGAAGACTAACAGTAGGATAAGTGTTCCTTACCCATAATAGTTGAGAAGGTTATACTTTAAATGAAATGTTTTGCTTCTTCCATGTCAAAGTCATCTGTTATACATATACTATATACATATACATATACATATACATATACATATACATATACATATACATATACATATACATATACATATATATATATATATATATATATATATATATATGTATATATATATATATATATATATATATATATATATATATATATATATAATATATATATATATGTAATTAGTAAACAGATACCAAATGGCTATTGATAACCAAATCATTACTTGATTAAGCTAAAAATTTGGTAAGTGTATTCAGAAGAAAATATGGTAGTGGGGTTAAGCATAAATCAGCAAAGTTTAAAGGGATACTTTAAAAAAAACCACCTTATAATAGATCAGGCCTTTGTCTACATGTGAAATACTGGCTTTCAAGAATTGAAGGCAGAATATGACTGGAACCAATAAACATCATATTTCCCACCAATGTCCTGCTTTGATTGTCCAAATTCTTCCTCTGATGCTACTGCTTTTTCTGGAATGATTTTTCTTGGATTGGGTATTCTTCCTGCCTCTTAGGTTACATTCTTATTGTTATTTGGGACACCTTTTGCCCAATCACATTCGATCAGCTAAACATTGTGTCCCTCCATGTGTGTATGTTTGTATATAACCTTGACAAGGATCACAATGAACTCAATTGTTTCTGTAAAGTATGGTAAATCATATTCGCTCCCCTTTTAAAACATATAGAGATGCTGCAAAAGAGATATCCAGCCTAAATCTTTGCAGTTATTCATCCCATTTTATTTTTATTTTTAGAAGATGAAAGTAGGATAGAGTAGAGAAGAAAAGGACTGAGAAGTTATAGGCAGTTCAATAAGACAAGGGTACAGAAAATAACAAATTGCAAATAAATACAGAAAAATAGTCTTTGCATAGTTCAAAAATGAACATCATATGGTGTCAGCGTGCTATGTGAACTAACACGCAACAAGCACACAGACCCACAATTTCAGATGAAAGATTGCGTGTATGTGTGCGCGTGTATACATTTGCATACACAAACACATACATAATCTTAGAGAGAAAACCTAGAAGCAGATCTCAGCATGAACATTAACTAGCTATGTGTTTTTCAGTCAAGCCATGCTACCAAGTGGGTAAGTGAGAGTTTAAAGGTGGTTTTAAACTATATGATCTGTCTTGGCATTCCGTATCCTGTCATCCCTGACTGGGATGCTCCCTTGTTACTTCCCATTTGAAGACCGATGACATTCTGTCCTTGGCGAAGCTGCTCTTCAGAAAATCCTCGCTGGTTCTTCTGTGCTTTCCTGTGAAAATGATTCTGTTTTAAAAGTGACATGTTTGTTCTGCTTTAAATTCTCAAATGTTTTTTATCAGATTGAGTGCCACAGCCCCTGGGTTTATCTACAGTATAAGGTTAGTACTGTCCTGATTTTGAGAACATGAGCTGTTTTGGAAGACAAGAAGAGGTTTCTAACACTGAATTCCCCCTTCTGAAGCTGTAGGTGTGTCATAAGATAATGGAAGCCAGCAAGTCCTAAGGACCCCAGGGATCTCTTTGAGGAGAGGGGAGGTCAGGGGCTAGAAGCAGGGGTGAAATGCTCCCGGTTCAGACCGGATCTCCCGATCCAGTAGCCTATGGAGGCGGGTGGTTCGGAGAACTGGTAGCAAAAATCCCTGCCCCCCCCCCCATGCCCAGCTGAGCCGCACAATCATCAGAGGCTTCTTTTTCTTTAGTTTTTAAAAGCATTTTTTCTACAACCTCTTCGGCAGAAAAAATGCTTTTAAAAGTAAAAAAAAGCCTCTGATGATTGCGCAGCTCAGCTGGGATCATCAGAGGCTTTTAAAAGCATTTTTTCTACAACCTCTTCAGAGGTTGTAGAAAAAATGCTTTTAAGAGCCTCTGACGATCCAAGCTGAGTTGGCTGATTGGCACAGGCTTTTTTTCTTTTAAATGCCTCTGACGATCCAAGCTGAGTTGCCTGATCGTCAGAAGCTTTTTTTCTTTTAAAAGCCTCTGATGATCTCAGCTGAGTTGCCTGATCAGCAGAGGCTTTTAAAAGAAAAAAAGCCTCTGATGATCAGGCAACTCAGCTGGGATCGTCAGAGCCTTTTGAAAGCATTTTTTTTACAACCTCTTCACTGAAGAGGTTGTAGAAAAAAATGGTTTTAAAAGTAAAAAAAAAAAATTGGTCACGCCCACCCAGTCACATTACACCCCCCCACACACTAAGTCACGCCCACAGAACCGGTAGTAACAAATTTTAGATTTCCCCACTGGCTTGAAGTATGAATATCTTATAAATAAAGGCTTTCTAAAATTCTACTCTATTTCCTGAACATATTTAGCCACTGTGGAAAAAAGAATAGTTAGGACTCTGAAAAAAACTGCATTACTTTGCATTTCTTTTCCTTCAAAAAATATTAAACACAAGGAGATAGCATTTCAGCCAATACGGCATGTTGAAAGTAGCATTAATTACAGTGACATTTTAGGGAAAGTGTTCATCACCATCCAACAAATGATACAGCTCCCTCTTGGAACCTAGTAGGTGCCATGGTCTCATTCAAAACAATAAAAAAATGTTTAAAAAATCAAAATTATTACCACATAAGGATTTATAGTGGATGGATACTACTCACTTCTGTATTGGAGTAGCATCATTCAACACCTCAATATCAGAAAACTAAATCAACCTGGTATTTTGCTACATATAGATAAGCCATATTTGAGAAAGAGTAGAAAATAGCAAATCAAATAGCAAAGAGCAAATCATTCAGCCACTTTCTTGGTACTGATGGTTTTATGTTATCTGGCCATCATCCAGAAAAACACTTAAGTAGATGTTCTGCTTTATTAAGACAAGAGCGTGCAAGATTAAGCACTATTTCTCCAGAGGTTGATGTTACAAAATATATCAAATATCAGTTTGGGAAAATTGCTTCAGAACTGTTAGGCAGCTTTCTTAGATGTATGTTCATTTATCAACAATCATGAAGTAGAGCAAAATTCTGAGGAAGTATAGTTTCAGAATTGTCTCGGCAGATAGTAATGATTTGCAAATTATGTTTCATATTTCTGTTAATGCTTGGACAATTGCTGCTACAGATATCTGAGTCATTGCTAGAAAGAATGACTCAAATACGTTAAGCAAGACATATTACCCTATCTACTAGCTGCACAAACAAGAGAAGACTTCTTGATAGACAAATTATATACTCGGGTGGGCAAGTATTGGATAGCAGGGGGCTCACCTAATGTTTTGAAGATCAAAGGGCTGAGTTCTGCATTGTCAGGGAAGAGACAAAATATATGGGGCCATATCACATACTTGAGGGTGACACAATGGCTCAGCAGTTAAGACGCTGGGCTTATCAGCTGGAAAGCTGGCAGCCCAGGTTCTAGACCACGTGACAGGGTGAGCTTCCATTCTCTCCCCAGCTGCTGCCAACCTAGCAGTTTGAAAGCAAGTAAATGCATGTAGATAAATAGGCACCACTTTGGTGATAAGGTAACAGCGCTCTGTGATGTTATGCTGGCCACATGACCACAGAAATGTCTTCGGACAGTGCTGGCTGGTGGCCTTGAAACGGAAATGAGCACTCCCCCCTATAGTCAGCAGTGACTAGCGGAATCAAAACTGCAGGGATTCCTTTACCTTTTTTAAAAATAAAAATCATATACTTGGAATAGGGAAGGATTGGGATACTTTTGTTCTTTTCCCTTTTTTAAAAGCTGTGTATGCTATTAGAATTTATACTAAAGGTTTACATATTTCCTGTCTGAAAATAATGGGATTGTATGCTTTTCATTTTCAATAGCTCTAGGTCAGGGGTGTCAAACGCAAGGCCTGGGGGCCGGATCCAGCCCAGTGGGTGCTTAGATCTGGCTCACAGGGCCACCCTGGAAACAGTGAAGGACCAAAACTCGGTGCCTCTGCCAGCAAAAACAGAGCCTGGAAGGACTGTGTGTGACCCTCCTGAGCTCCATTATCGCTTGCAGAGGGTTGCAGGAGGCCATTGCAGCCTAAAATGGAGCTCGCAAGAACCGCAGGCGGCACTCCCAAGCTCTGTTTTCACTGGCAGAGGGTTACAGGAGGCTGTCGCAGCCAAAAACAGAGCTGGCAGAGCGCTCGGGCCACTACAGGTGCCCTGATACAAATGACATCAAGCTGACCATGCCCACCCTGACCACGCCCACCCAAGATCAAACACAATCCTGATGCCACCTCAATGAAATCATGTTTGACATGCCTGCTCTAAGTCAATAAGCGAAGGAAATTATGCACTCCTGGGTAGACCATTCTGCATCAACATAATTCATTATTATAAATGGAACATTTTTGAATATCTATTCTAAAGAGATCTTTAATTAACAGCTGAAAAGAGCCAAAATTAAGGTGTCTTGCTTTAAAAAATACATTTTCTTCTGTCTAGGATTTGTTTTTCGTTAAACAAATGCACATTTGTTTTTCATGCACATTTAGTCTATGTTTGAAAATGGAAACAACAAACATATTCTTACCTGTGAAACCAGGAGGGATCCCCTTTGTAACATCCATCATCCCTTGTAACAGCTTCACTGCCTAAAGCCATTAGAGTCCTTTGCACAGCAGCCATGTCTTTTCCTAAAAAGAATTATCCATGTGTTATTGTTAAATTGTTTGGTTGTACTTCAGCAGCATTACGTAGACACCTGTTTTACCTCAAAATCCCCAGAGCTTTTATTATTACATTATGTTTTCTGTTTTTATTCTGGTCTCAAGGGAATTTTCCTTGACAGAACCCTTCCTACTTTTAGCTTGCAAACTGCTGCATGACTGTCAGTATATACCTTAGAGATTTAGTTTTAGAGATTTAGGAAATCTGACCATATGCTTGATCTCTATGAGATTGTATTAGAGACTACATTTTTCAGTAAACTATATCTTTCTAATCAGGTTTGGCAATTTTTTGTGGGAAACAAATTTGAAAATAGCTTTTGGGGGCTGGAGTTTGGATTTTTTTTCCTATTCTGACTAACAAATGAAGTAAAATATGATGCCCAGAAATAAATCAATGGTTTGCTGCAAGTTTCACCAGCATAAACTACATATAGGCTCCAAAACATGATACTATGAGGAAATACAGCCCACTGATGTTCAGGTTGTTTTCCATCTATGTCTTTTATAACTCACTGGATTTCCTCCATTATAGATATATCAGGCTTTTGGTCATTCTAGCTTGCCCCTTCTTATATCAAGCACTTTGTTTTTTCTTTCGGTCTCCTGCTAGTTCTTTTAAACCTTCTTCAAGTTCTGCACACATACCCCATGTGAACATATATGTGTGTGGAGGGGGGCGTTGCACGGGATAGAAGCAAAAGAATGTGGGTTCTGCCTCACTCTATTATCTTTCTTGTCAGCTTCATGTGTCTATCTGTACAGGGCTTCTCATGCTATCTAGCTGGGGAGTTTTGGAAGTCCACACACCTGGAGAATGTTCAGATCGGACACTGGTATAGAGGATCACTCTAGAGGACATCTCAAAGGTACTTTTTCAAGAGGCACCCGGACTTTCTGGTATCCGTTCATACTCCCACACCATTCGAAGGATGTTCATCCCAAAGTGCATAGCTAAATGTCTATGGAGATTCTCAGTCAACCAGAAAATCCAGTTGCCTATTGAAAAAGCACCTTTGGGTCAACCAGGACCTGGATGACGGTCAATCTCCATAGACACTCTAGAGAAGGAGTGTCAAACTCATGTTGTCATGTTGTCACATGATGTATCGTGACTTTTTTCCCATTTGCTAAACCAGGGATGGGTATGGCCAGTGCATGATACATCCGGCCCACAGGCCGCAAGTTTGATACCCCTGCTCTAGACGACAGCCTCTGCAATTCCAAAGATTTAAATTATGTGAAGCATCTCTACAGATGCAGGAAGTTTTCCTTTACAGATAAATTATCCTTTGCAGATAGAAGGCAATATGATGGACTATAGTACTATTTTCATTTTCATTCTCAACACCACCACTCTTTGCACTGACAATTTACACTCAAGGAATTGCTAAAGGAAGCTTTAGATATGTAAAGCTAATCAGCAGCCAAATACTGAACATCAATTAGTTAAATCTCCCTCTAAACTCATAAAGCCACACCATCTACCAAACTCTAGGTGACAAGACCACATGAAAAATCACAGAAAAGAATCCACAGATGTTAAATTCTCATCGTTTACGCTAAGAGTAACATCATTGCAAAAGTTGCCCAGCACTGTTTTCAGAGCAGTCCTTATTTTGTTCATAAGCAGCTGCATGAATTAATTCTACTATTTTTATTGAACAAAGACAGAGTGATTAAATTGACTAAGGCCACAGAAAAGTTAATATTAAAGGGGGATTGTGAGTCATAGAATCTTGGCTCATTGTAAGGAACAGCTGTTAATTCTATGACAATATCATCTTTTAAAAGTTGTTTTTAAAAGCCACATTTTTAAAATTACTGTTTGTAGCTATTGAGGGCTGCATGACTGAAGTAAAAATGTAATGATAACATCCATAAGGCAATGAGAGGATTTAGAAGCCATTTTCCCCCTTTTTGTTCCCATTAACTTTTAAAGTAACTTTAAGTCTATTGAAAGATACTGATTCCAGGAGCATAGATCTCAGACCACTCCCTTTTAAGTCATAGTTAAAACAAAGGCTCCAGGTTTGGAAAAGGAAATCTGAGGTCAGCACTTTTTGATAATGTGATAGTCTAATAATGGAAAGACTGAAGCAGAACTGTTTGGCTAAGGGCAAGCTGGAAGGAGAAGATTAACGTTCTACAGGTCCTTGGTCTTACGCCATATTCATAGGTTGTGGGATATTTTAAAAAAGAGTAGTATATAGTCCAGCTTGCATTGGAAGGGAAAGGTTTCTTTTTTAAAAAAAAATTAAGTACTAGCTTTTCACAATTAGCATTAGATGAAGGAAATGGAGAATCACAAATATTTCTCTACCCTCACATCTATTCTGCTGCTCTTATGATAACCTTGGAAATGAAATCTCAAAGGCTTTAATATCAGAACTCTCTTAAAAAGGACTTTGGACCAGAAAATGAAACCTCCTTAATACTTCATAATATTATGACGTCTCTCAATTTAAAAATGAACATGTTTACATCTTTAATGGGAATGCCCTAAAATAAATAATTTTGAAATAAGGTGAGTAATTAGCAATATTGAATATAACATTTACGGAACAAATAAAACATAAATAAGATGTATTCAATAATAAACAGAACCTTTTTAAAATGAAATATGGTATCTTTTAAAATTCTGTTAATAGAGACAGTGATAGGCTTCTCAGGTCTATTAGATATTCTGTTCAAATACTTAATTTGTTATTTTGATGTACTATTTCTAAGTACCTGTGGTGCATCTCTTTTTATGAGATTGATTTATTTATTTTTCAAAGTTCTAAACCTCCCTTTCCCTTAAAGAGTGGCTCTGGGCATTGTGCATTATAATATAACCGATAAAGAAAACAATGTATAAAAATTAAATTAGAAATGAAAAATTAAATTAGGGTTAAACATTTCAAAATTATAGAATAATGACAATTTAACAACAAAAGACAGAGAATCTAAAATAGCTATTTAACATTGGATTGGGGCTCTCAAGGGACTAGGCAGCCCCATGGCAAACTAAAGGTTTATTGTTTTTAATGTAGAAATAATATTTATAAGGTATTACATAATAACTCAATTTTTTATGCTAATTTCCCTCCCACGCACATATACCTTCTGTAATTTTAGGGCATGCGGATCTGTATAGAACTGTTTTGGTAATTCAAAAGAAGCCATCTATGACTTGATAAACAAGAATCCTTTTCATTACTCTGATGGGATAATCACAATACAAAATCCTGCTTCCCAATTTGGGGACAAGTTTGGAGTCTTACTGAGCATTATTGAGATACCTACTATTGTGCCCTGTCAACCACATTTAATTATTCATTATTTGCACCATTGAAAAGACATAATATATCAGATGAACATTTTTGCCAGTTTTTGCTCAAGCGTATTATGCTTGAGTATGTGCTTAAGTGTACTAATCATTTTTTTTTTCTTCACAACACTGATATTCTAGTCAATGTCACTGGAGTTGGGTTTCTCTGTTCCTATTCCAAACCTTAGCATAATACAGGTCTAAACTATGAGATCTGTAAATGGCTATCCAAGATGGAAATCTCAGTGTAACCTGGGGTCATGTTATAAGTAAACCTTCTCCAACTTGGTGCCCTCCAGCTGTGAGGGCAGTACAGGTCCCAGAATTCCTCTTCTGGCAATACAGCTGTAAGTAACTGGACATTATCAGAATTGGGAAGACTCCAATACCTTCATCCAGTTTCTGGTCCAAGATTCAAAGAAATGCGGTTTGAATTGTAAAGATCATTTCTCTTGGTCAAAATCCAGAATCTTCTCTCTATATTACTTGACAGTTTTGATATGGCACTTATCCTGCCTAACTTTTTCTTGGAAACCATTGAGACGTGATTAGTAACAGAAAGCAAAGATTGCTTTATCCTTTTCTCCTCAGAGCAGTAGCCACATCCGGCAGGGCTTTTAGCAGGAGTTCTTTCATTGCTTCCTGGCTATCATTATCAATTCACATCTAAAAAATGTTCTTTAGATACCAAAGTCCCTGTAAATGGGTTAGGCAAGCCTTCAGGCTTATAATTTAATTTAAAGCACAAAATAAATACAAAAGGGAAAGCAGAGCTGCACAAGTCTAGGAAATGGAGGAGGAGAGGAAAAGTAAATATAACAAGAACGGACAATTGTTTAAATGGAGAATGCAAGAATTTATTTTGACTCACATACATGACTTCCATCAGAATACTCATAAAGGATACAAATAAGGAAATATCAAATTCATCATTACAAGGACAGTATTATTAATTATATGGATTCTTCTAATACTAGGAAGAGAGCTGTTGAAAAAAAGGCCTGATTTTAGGCACTGGACTAAATTATCAGAATATCAGAGTAGATATTAGCATTTTACTTCCATTAAACCAAGTCTTTCCTGATGCTAAGAAACATACAAGGAATGTTCTTTATTCCAGAGTATAATAAAAAGAGGGGCCTATAAAGTTACTTCACCTTTTTACTGAAAAAAATGTGGAGCAGTGACTGTGCATATGCTGTACATTCTCATTGGGATAGTCAGGAATGACTTCTAAAACATTCTTGAGATTTTGGTAAAAGATTAATCTGCTTAAAAAGAGTTGTCTTCTACCTGCGCTGCTGAGTTTCAAAACACCTTTTTGTAGGATTTGCATAAATCATAAAGGTACTACTCTACTTGCATAAAGCCAATTTCCAGAGGTGAAATGACAGCATACAAATTTGAAGCTTCATCCAGTATAAACTCAGTCTAAACTATTCTGACAACATTATTATTGTCAGGCTTCAGATCTATTTGTCCTGAGTTTTCTTTCATTCAAGAAGTGGCTGTTGTTTATGGGATGATTAATTTCATGTACTACAATCAATGAATGAATTTCTCAAGTATCTTTTCCCAATCTGAAACTGGATCAATCCCATACTATGAATGTCCCCAGTCAAATTTCAAAAGGATTTTAACAAATAGCTGTATATTTCTCCGAGTATACTCTTTCTCTATGTATCTTTCTTAATGCATTAATTTTGGTAATGGGTTCCACTAATATAATTAATTTCTGTTTGGACTTTCTCCTAATATGTACATTTTTTAATTTCTGTGCATGTTTCCCATACATACAGGTTAAAATTAGATAATGAAATTCAGCAAATATTGATATACATGCTAACTTTGTTCCAAGCTAAATATAGAAAATGCGAACTGGTTTATGTTTACATTTAAATGAAAACTAATTACATTTCACCATCCTTAAAATTATAACTTGTTATTTTGCTGAAATATCTGCTATAATATAACTTCTACTTGCTTAATTTTGATGTGCTTCTGTAAAAAAACAACCCCATATCTTTCACTTGGATATAGGTATAAAATATTTCATTAAATCTTGCATCAATATAAATTTCAATAAGGCATTACTGGAGAGAACAGTGCTTAAAGGCAATGCAAATTAGAAATAATTGTAATGGCATTTGGGAATTTTTTCATAAAGAAATATATAGTGAATATCAGGTTAAGCAGTGTTACAGAAAAAGAAACACTCTTATATATAAATAAGTCTCTACCTTCCCATAAATCTACTGTCTGGAAGATATCTGTTGTTCGTACTCCATAGCTTTCTGCAGCTTTCAAGAACTGAGAAATTTGTTCCATTTGTTTGAAAGCCATCTTTGAGTCTGTGATCCTTGCAATAGGTTCTTTTCCCTTGGGATGAAGATTGTTTATTAACTTGCAGAGCAGCTGGGAGATTGACCATTAAAAGCAGAATTGAAAGAGACAAAATCAATTAATTTCACCAACTAAAGGCAACACAGTATGTGTGTATTACTCTGTTTATAACATAGATATTCTAATGCCACTTAGAAAGGGTCCCCTGGCTCTTTGCTCCTCAAATGAAATACATAATACAAACATAAGTGTATGCTACTGACAGCATGTATTATGGATGCATTTGAGCCAAATACGTTAACAATGCTTGGCAAAGCTTCCCTTTCCACAGATAAAACATACATGGCTGAAATGAAGCAGGCAAAATCAAATTATTCACTTCAGATTATATAACAATTGATAGTCACATGGGAGAGCAAAACACAGCTTGAGCTCAAGTGTAAGTAGTATCAAGTAGTAAGCTGATAAAAACACAGTAAGCTGATAAAAACACAATCACTACGTTTAATAATTTTGCCAAGTCTTCCATATAAATGAAAGCACCTTTGTGCCGTTCTTTCAGTAAATGAATAAATTATCACTTAAAGACTTAGAATTGCTTATTCCTTGAAAAAAAAAAAAACCAGAACAGTGGCATTTCATAAACGAATACACATAACTAACCCATTTTAAAGGAGGATAATACTATTAGGGAAAAGCTCAGGGTTGTAAAGGATCTATAATTAACTGTCAAAAAATTGTAATTTATATTCCGCATATTGCATAACCATTGTTCCATCTGTCTCTATACAGCTCTATACACTGTTTTTCATACTGTCCTCTGTTCATAACAGCAATCACCTTCAATGTTTGAATTATTTTATTGGAGTCTAGAGAAAGGCAGTTTACAGATGGAGATAATAATTGCTTTAAATTAAACAAATCAAATATACTTTGTAAACTCTGAAACATTACTTTGTAACATTGATTTTATAGGACATGCTACCTAATGAGGTCAGGAATGCATGCCAAAGTTAACTGATTATTTGATATATTTTTGAAATGGTAAAAATTTAGGAACAAATTATATTATTCAACAATGTTACATTGCTAGATGCAATATCCGATTATTACTTACTATTCCGTCCATTAGCCATTTCTGAAAATGTTGTTTTCCAGGAAGGGGGTGCTCTATATTTTCACCACATTGTATAATAATCCAATCCACTAAACGACTTTCCAGTTCTAGATCATATTTCTGTTCAATCTTTTCTTGAACTTCTCGGCTTAAGCCATAGCTTGGTCCTCTATTGGCCATCTCTAGGAAGGAAGGAGAAAAAAAACACATTAACTTTTAAAAGCCACAAATTACCTATCAACTATTATCTTAAGCATCTTACTAAAGATAAAGATAACTTCAAAACATCTTTAAAAAGGTGAGTGAACCTTTTTAAAAAAGCTGTTCCAAAACAAGCTCTCATGATCGTAAGAGTGTGTGAATTTTTGCTATTACAGTGCATATTTTAAATTTCCACATACAATTACCATCAGCATTAGAAGTTGCTAATTATATTTCAAATTAACGTTGCAACTTCAGAGTTCTCTCTTTAATGAACTACAGCAAGCCACCAAAGTCAGAAGTATAAAAAGCATTCCTACAGAACAATTTAGAAGATCCTTTCGGCAAGGCACGTGAAGATTTTTCAGCAATTAACTATATCCAAAACCCGAATCCAAATCAAAGGAAGAAATCTTGATCAAATTTAAGAAGAGACAAAGGCAGCTGTGATGCTCTGCTGGTCGTGGTCCTGCTGCTGTGGAAGCATTGTGGTTTGGAGGAGGTTGTATTGATTTGATTTCCCTCACAGTCGAGTAGGGTCAAAGCAGGGGCGTTGCTAAGAGCTATTAAAGAGGCACTCCTATTCCCTCATAATCAGAGAAGGAGTCCTATTCAACTCAATCAGCTGCAACCAGCTTCTCTGCGCACACTTCCGCTGCTGTCAGACTGTTATTCTGTGCAATGCTCTTATGCTGCAGCCGTTGTCATAGCGCCGGAGAATTTAGCTGTTTAAAATACTCTCAGAATCACAGACAACAGTGGAATTTTATTGAACTAAAGACAATCCTGCACCTATAGCAATGATGTAAAATCTGGAAATATGGAAGCTGAGTAGAGTGGCATCTGATAGTTGTGAAAAGATGCACAGAAAATAAAAAAAATACTTCCATTTCTAAATAACATGTTAAGAAAAAACTAGATTTTTCAGCATCCCATCCCATCCCAAACCAACAGATCTGCAATGCAGAGCAGAAAGCTTCAAATTCTAAAGCATCATAACTTTCCAAATCCTTTCCAAATCACAGCTGTTATTGGCTGAATTGCACTTAATAAGCAAATGGAGATAATATGGATTTTTCAGGACTTGCCCAAGAGATTATGTTTTCTTGGATAGAACAGTAAATTATACCATGTAAGCCTCAGTTGATATATAATGAATGAATTCATCCATTTGTTATTATACATTGATTGTATTTCTCTGGAAAGAAAGTTAATCTTTTGAGATTGGGTCATTATTTCCCCTAATGTAAGACAAGCTTTGTGTGCAAATCACTATGAAGGGGCATGATGGTTCAGTACATAGCTTTGATTGTCCTTTTCTTTGAGGACATTAAGTCAAGACTGTCTTGGAAAAGCTCAGGCTTTATTCAGGAATAATGTAGCCTTTTTATGGAAATCTTTTTGGCTCTGCACCATTTCAGACAGAAAGTTATTTTGAATATCCTTTTTATAAAACAATCTTACATAAAGAGTACTTTTTAATGTTAAAATTTTGCATGTCTGAGGATTTTTTTTCTCCAACAGAGAGGAAACTTATTTGTTTGAGAGGAAACTTATTTGTCCAGTTACTTGCAAACAGCCAAGAGGTATTGTTTTGTCACCAATAAAACTAGATAAGAATGCTGACATTTTCATCACTCTCGTAGCCCATCCTTTTAATGTCATCAAAACACAAACTGTTTAGGCTGAAAAGCTAAGCACAGTTGCATAGTCGGAAGCTTAGATTTGAATAAATATACACCTTAGAATACCTTTTAATTTCAATGTAAATTCTTCACAGTCCCTGTAACAAAAAAAAAGAGCAGATTCCATCATGCTACTTTGGACATTTGGATAGTCAACATTTCTTCCCATGTTATCACCCCACCCCACCCCCTTGCTATTGAGTTCTGATGCAAATAATGAGCTCACTGCTTTATATAAATCTCAGATTCCCCTGGACTTGAATACATGAAAAATTCAGTAGGTGACCTCATTTTCCTGTCAAGTCTTCTGTACTGAGCACTGATTTATTTTTATTTTTCAAAGGCTGAAATCTACTCTCTTAGAATTTGTCTCCCTGCATCCAGTATGCCGTGTGTATTAAATAGTGCCTGAGAATTTTTTTTTTAAATTAAAATTTCCAATGAATATGGTCAATCAGGTTGGTTTTCATTATTCTAGAATAGAAAACATTGAAACTATATTTATGATTCCTAATCAGTTTAAACAAAATACTAGAAACAAGATTTTAGCACATTGCTCTTTATTTGAATTCCTTTATAGCTTCCATGGCAACAACTACAGAAGCTAGAAGCTATCTATTCAAAGATGGAAGGTTCTTAGGCAAGTTTTGTGCACTTATTCTGTCTAGCCACAAACCATAGATATGTGCATGTTTTTTTTAAAAAAAGGAACCTGAAAGGTATACTGCTTATGGTCTTTCATTCCATGTTTTAATATACTTGAATAAAAATTAAAACACATAATTGCACTGATTTATTCAAAATGGCATTCAGTACCTATGGGCATCCCTTAAGGTTTTCTTTAATAATAAATTGCATATATATATATATATATATATATATATATATATGATTTATATGCCGCCCTTCTCCAGAGACTCAGGGCGGCTTACAATGCGTTAAGCAATAGCCTTCATACTTTTGTATATTTATACAAAGTCAGCTTATTGCCCCCACAAACTGGGTCCTCAATTTACCTACCTTAGAAAGGATGGAAGGCTGAGTCAACCTTGAGCCTGGCAAGATTCGAACTTACTAATTGCAGACAGCTGGTGTTAATCATAATGCTATCAGTCTGCTGAGCTATCCAGTCATTTTTCATTTTGTATAGAGCCAAAGACAGCCATTCAGAACAGTTCCCATGGGACAGTGTCTTCTGTTTAGTAGACATACAGTATGGAGACAGTGCAAATAACAGACTGATTGATAGCTCAAGAGTTTATTAAAAACCTGAGCCTCCAACAAATCTTTAATATTTTTAATATTTCAGTAAGACGAAAAGAATCCAGCATCTAGTGGTTACATTCAGGATAGTATAGGTTATCCTAAGCACTAATAATACATCTCTTCTAGCTCCACTTTTTAATGATTATCAAGAACCATGGTATTCTATGGATTTTTATTTATTTTTTATTTGGTTATTAAATTTATATACCACCCATCTCGCTATCCAAAGCAATAAGTTGCATACTAGACAGGGTGTTTCAGGGTAGCAGCTGACATATGATGGACAAGCTAATGGACCTTGATTTCTACCTGTTTTGGTGAACAGTGAATAAACAGTAAATAAATAAATTAGTGCGCATACACAGGAAAAAAATCATGAGATAAAATTCATTAATTCTTCCAATCTTATCTGTTTTTGCCTTTTCTTTTTATTCTTTTTTTTCCAAATACGTTATTGCCAAATATATTAGCATATATTGCTATATATGCTTTTATCATATCACATACATTCTGAAGTGATGTGTCTTTTTTATTTATTTTAAAGAAAAATTCTAGTTCTTTTTCCATAAACTGCTGAAAGTCCTTTTCGTTTAATATTGTTGCGTTCAAAGTCCATGTTGTCTTTTTCTTTCGTCCTTTCCACATTATTGTCATTGGCTAAGGTCCGCCCAAATATTTGAACCAATATTTACTTCTTGTACATTGTTTCTTCTCTTGCTTTTTCATCTATGTCTTTCTCTTCATCTTTCTACTTTGTCTCCCCTACTGCTCCCAAATCTTCTTCTAATGGTCCACAAAATTGTTGATAAAATAATTTCGCTTTTTCAATAGAGTCAAGTCTATGTCTTTGTTCTTGCCATGTCACCAAAATTCCTTCTGGTATTAGCCATCTGAAACTCACTCCTTTTTGGATTGAACATTTTGTTAAGAACTGATATTCTCTCCTCAGATCCCTGGCTATTCTAGGGATTTGTTTTATGACCACAAGTTCTTTATCTTTATGTTTCAGTACTGTAATTCTTGCTGCTTGTAATATCTCTGTTTTCACTGCCTTCTTTGTAATCTTACATGTATTTCTCTTGGTAATTTATTCCTCATTGCATATCTTGTATATACTCTAAAAGCTTCATCAATCTCATTTAAAATCTTTTCTTTGGATTGTCCCAAATTTCTGACAAAATCTCAGCAATCACCTCAGGTAAATATCCTCCTTTTTCTTTCTTTATATTTTGGAATCTTAAGTAAAATTCAGAACACTCCATTTTCAACAGGATAATTGTTTTTTCTTGTGATTTGTCAGTTAACACCAATTTTTCTTCTAGTTTCTCGACCTTCTTCTCTGTCGTTTCCACTTTTCTTCTACTTTCTGAATTCTCTCTTCATTTTTCCCAATCATAGCTTTCATTTCTTTTAACACCTGTTTTAAATCATCATAAAGCTATTGCATAAAGTTTTTTAGTTCCATCATCTCCTACATTTTCTGTGTTTCTGTCATTGAGGGACTTGATGTTGAATGTAAATGAGCTGTAAATTTCTTCATTTCCACTTTTCCAAATAATTTATAATCCATTTGTGGTTTATTTATAATCCAAGTGTCTAATCCACCCGATGGTTGGATTAGCAAAAATAAAAGAAAAAAATCCCAATCAACCACCTCCCTCCAAAAATTCAAAGCTCCAAATCTCCCATCAAAGAAAGAGAGAGAGAGAGAGAGAGAGAGAGAGAGAGAGAGAGAGAGAAGCAAATGAGAAGAGGAAGAAAAAAAGGAGAAGAAAAAAAAAAAGAAAGCCAATCCAACTACAAAAGGTAAAAGTTCAAATTAAAAATCCAGACAATAACAAAAAGGGGAAAAAAAATTATTCTGACTCTTCAAGTCATAATCCAAATTCTTAGCACTCTAATTCTATTGAGTTCAGTAACAAAAAAGCATCTAAATAGAAGGCAATTATAAAAGAAAGAACAAAACTTTTCAATTTCCCTCAAGCAAGTCTCAAAACGGAGTACTTCAAAATGTTCACAAAAGGTTATGCCAAAAAACTGGTCACCCCAGAATAATAATAATAATAATATAAGATTAAAAGCCAAAAAAAAGTTCAAAAGCAAGTTCAAGTCTAGTCTTCTCTCTTCCACATCTGCTCTGTTATCATTCAGCCAAAATGTCAAGTTCAATTGTTATTAAAATTTCTTCAGAGTCTTCAGAGTCAAAATCTTTTTCCCTTCTTGCCACTAGATGGCATTGCAGGTTAACTTTCAACAAAAACACAGTACTTTCACTCCTTTAAGGATTGTTGTTTCAAAATTTCCTTTTATCAATCACCATCGTTCTATAACATTTCATTCAAATGGGATTCAATCTTCAATTCATTGTCCAAATTCTTGTTATTAATTTTAAAAAGGTTAAAAATTCCCCAAGTCTTTCTTAATCAGTAAGAATAAAGTAAAAGTTTCCAGTTTCACTTTCGTCACCACCTAATTACCGGATGTGAGAGCGAATACACACCCATTCTCACTTCTCACTCTCAGGTAGTCTTTTTCCACCCTATCGGTCTTTCAGGTGGATTTGAAGGAAACTCTGAACTCACCCCTCACCCAAATCACTCTCACCTCGATGTCATACTCTGTCTCTTTTCTTCCTCTTCTGTTGCGGCCGTCCCAGCTTCCTAGCAACTTCTATGGTTGCTTTTTGCACTGCCCAGT